TCCTTCCTTCCTTCTTTCTTTTCTTTCTTTTCTTTTCTTTCTTCTTTTTCTCTTTCTTTCTTGCTTTTCTATTCTTTCTTTTCTTTCTTTCTTTTCTTTCTTTTTCTTTCTTCTCTCTCTCTCTCTTCTTTTCTTTCTTTTTTCTCGCTTTTCTCGCTTTCTTTCTTTCTTCTTCTTTTTTTGGAGGATGGAGTTTTGGCTCTGGTTGCCCAGGGCTGCCTGCCTGCCTGTCTTTTTCTTCTTTCCCTTTCCTTTCTTTCCTGCTTTTCTTTCTCTTCTTTCTCTCTCTCTTTCTTTCTTCTTCTTTCTTCTTTCTTTCTCTCTCCTTCTTTTTCTTTTCTTTCTTCTTCTTTCTCTCTCTCTCTCCTTCCTCTCCTTTCTCTTCCTTCTTTCTTCTTTCTTTCTTTCTTTCTTTCTTTTCTTTCTTTCTTTCTTTCTTTTCTTTCTTTCTTTCTTTTTCTTTCTTTCTTTCCTTTTCTTTTCTTTTCTTTCTTTTTTGAGATAGAGTTTTGCTCTGTTGCCCAGGCGTCCTGGCCTGGCCGTTCTTCTTCCTTTCCTTTCCTTTGCTCCCTCCTTCCTTCCTCTCCCCTCTTTCTTCTTCGCCTCCCTCGCTCCCTCCCTCCTTGTCTTGTTCTTTCTTTCTTTCTCTTTCTTTCTGTCTTTTGCTGTTTTTTCTTTCTTTTCTTGTCTTCTTTCTTTCTTTTTCTCCTTCTCCTTCTCCTCTTCTCTTCTTCTCCTTCTTTCTTGTCTCTTTTTTGAGGATGGGGTTTTCTCTGTTTGCCCCAGGCTAGAGGCAGTGGTATGATCTTGGGCTCACTCTAACCTCGCCTTCCGTGTTTAAGCCATTCTATTTTTTTTTTAATAAAAAACATTTTTTAAATAGAGACAAGGTCTCACTATGTTGCCTAGGCTATCCTTGAACTCTTGGCCTCAAGCAATCCTCCCACCCCAGCCTCACAAAATGCTGGGATTACAGGAATGAGCTACTGTGCCTGGCCTTTATCATGATTATATTATGATTATAGTTTTTTAAAAATCTTTTTCTTCTTAAACTTGAATTCTCCCAGCTCATAATAAGGGAAGGTAAATGAGAACACCTCCCAAAAATATGCTACACCTCTGAGACATAAAAGTAACTAAGATTTTCCAGCCTGAGGAAGGGAGGGTGGAGGAAAGATGTAACAGACCTGTGGAGGTCAAGGGCGCTGGTGATGGGACCAACCTCCTCAGTCTACAGTGAAATCATGAGGGCACTTAAGTTACTCATAAGGAAGCATCTCTGTACTGTAGTCTGGTAGACTCTGAAATGGGGTAACAAGTGATACTGTTGGAATCCTTCTCTTGCTTGTTAAAACTCTGATGAACTCTCAGCTGTCTTTAAGGGTTTGGATTTCATTCACAGTGCACGGGAGAGTGAACCGGAAGAACTCTAGCGGTCTCTTCAAGTCCTTCACTTCCATGAAGCAGAACAGGCCTTTTGCTGTGTGTTTGTGCAGGACTCCCACATGCCTGGCACACTCCTGGGCCCTCTGGGGAAACAGGAAAGAAGGATATGACAAAGTATGTGCCCTCCATGGGTGAGGCTCTCTCCTTTATTAAGAAATGCCAGCCAAGGCCAGGCACGGTGGCTCATGCCTGTAATCCCAGCACTCAGGGAGGTCAAGGCAGAAGGATAGCTTGAGGCTGGCCTGGACAACATAGTGAGTCCTCATCTCTAAAAAAAAAAAAAAAAAAAAAAATCTCCAAGGATATATGTAAATTTTAAGAACTTTTTTTATCTTAAAAAGGGAAAATGAGAAAAAGGGAAAAAAAGAAATGCCTTCCCTCTTCATGATTCCTCTTTAATAATCTTCCAACTCACTGGGCACCCCCTATCTTTGGGTTCTTGAAGACTTTCCAGGAGGCACAGCTTGGTTAGTCTTAAGAGCATCAACTCGCAGCTTTTCATCTTCCACATGCACTCTTTCTTAAAGCGGCTGGACTGAGAAGGTCCTTCACGATAGCCCGTCTCCCGCTTTAGACAAGAGAGGCCCCTTTCTGCTCTCCCATGTCTGACTCCAATTCATCATCCCATGATGAGAAAACCCCAGGGCAGCAAACAAAAGGGAAGCCCTCTTTGATGACAACAGCCCCATCAACTCAGAATATTCTGGAGATTTCCCTGGCATTATATATTTGCTTATTTATTTGTTAAAGGAACACCCATTATTAAAACTGTATATTTGGCTCATGTTGGGAATCATCTAAATTCAGTTATATGGTAGAGGGAAGTGAAAAACAGCTTTTCGTCCACAAAGTCACCTCCTATTCTTCCTAACTTCGTGTGTGTGTGTGTGTGCGTGTGTGCGCGTGTGATAGAGACACAGAAAGGAAGGGAGGAAGAAAGAAAAATTATCACTCACTAGGGTTAGTATTATGATAGCAAATTAAGGGAAACATTTGTAAGAATTATTGAAGGCTAAAAAAGACTCTCTCCTCACCTTTTTAAATATAAAACATTATTTTCAGCTCTTCTGCGATCCCTAGGCAGTGTCGTTAGCTGCAAAGAAAAGCACATTCAAATAGTTAAAGCCTGATATTTACTAATGCTGGTCATTTTTACCATAACTCAAACTTTTTCACAACTTCTAAAATGTTCAGGATACATTAGCTAAAGCCCCAGATTAAAGATTCATGTGATTTCTTGAAAAAATGTTCATTATCACTGGTCATCAGAGAAATGCAAATCAAAACCACAGTGAGATTCCATCTCATACCAGTTAGAATGGCGATCATTAAAAAGTCAGGAAACAACAGATGCTGGAGAGGATGTGGAGAAAAAGGAACACTTTTACACTGTTGGTGGCAGTGTGTAAATTAGTTCAACCATTGTGGAAGACAGTGTGGTGATTCCTCAAGGATCTAGAACTAGAAATACCATTTGACCCAGCCATCCCATTACTGGGTATATAGCCAGAGGATTATAAATCATGCTACTATAAAGACACATGCATACATATGTTTATTGTGGCACTATACACAATAGCAAAGACTTGGAACCAACCCAAATGTCCATCAATGATAGACTGGATTAAGAAAATGTGGCACATATACACCACGGAATACTATGCAGCCATAAAAAAGGATAAGTTCATGTCCTTTGCAGGGACATGGATGAAGCTGGAAACCATCCTTCTGAGCAAACTGTCACAAGGACAGAAAACCAAACACTGCATGTTCTCACTCACGGGTGGGAATAGAACAATGAGATCACTTGGACACAGAGAGACAGGACACACTGGAGCCTATCGGGGGGTAGGGGGCTGGGGGAGAGATACCGTTGGGAGATATACCTAATGTAAATGATGAGTTAATGGGTGCAGCAAACCAACATGGCACACATGTATACCTATGTAACAAACCTGCACATTGTGCACATGTACCCTAGAACTTAAAGTATAATAATAAAAAAAATTCATGTGACTTCTTTCAGATTTGATATGTTGTTGAATAAGATAATTATCAAATTATAACATTAAAACTTTATTCTGAGGTGGGCAGATCATTTGAGGTCAGTAGTTCGAGACCAGCCTAACCCACATGGTGAAACCCCAACTCTACTAAAAATACAACATAATTAGCCGGACGTGGTGGTGCATGCCTGTAGTCCCAGCTACTCGGGAGGCTAAGGCAGGAAAATCGCTTGAACCTAGGAGGCGGAGGTTGCAGTGAGCCGAGATCACACCACTGCACTCCAGCCTAGGCAACAGAGTGAGACTCCATCTCAAACAAACAAACAAACAAAAAAACTTATTCCACTTAGAGTTACCCTTTATCTTACTTTGTTCTCTGAGGTCACTGATATCTTTCCAGTCTTTCTGAAAATATAAGCAAATACGGATACAGATGATATTTTCTTACACAAAATATAACCAACTATATGTACTCAACGCTTTTTGCTTCTGTCTCTTCACAGCATTTTCTGGAAAGCTTGCCGGGTCTGTGCACAGTCAGCAGCCCTGCTCCTTTGCCCTGCTGTATAGTATTCAAGTGGGGATGTTCACAGATTACCCAGTCCTCTAAAGATGACACCTGGGTTGCCTCCAGGCTTCTGCTCCTACAAGCGATGCTGCCATGAATAACTGCTCACGTACATCCTTCCATACGTGTGCAGACGCCTCTGGAGGATCAGTGCCCAGAAGCGCCACCCCACCTTTTATTGCTGGCAAACTCTTAATCACCCACTGACAACCACGGCTCAGAGAGCCAGACATGAGAAGAGGCATGTCCAGAGAGGCACAGGAAATGCAGCTGCATCTGCCGTCTTTACTCAACTGTGAGCTTCTTAGAAGTCTGGACCACTTCTTACCCAACTTTGTATCCCCATGAATAACTCAATAAATAAACAAATGAACAGATGGGATTCAAACTTAGACTTCTTAAGAAACTCAGAAAGACAACCTCTAAGCAGAGAAGGGTACTGTTTCTCTAGGTACTGATTACTGCTTACTGCTATGAAATTTATGTTTCTATACAATCTAAGAAATCATAACCAGAACAGGGAAGTTATTCAGAACACAGAGCAAACCCCAGCGGCCCATTCTTCTAAACACAGTTCCTTCCTCAACCCCATGCCTTACAGCAGATTGTCTTAAGAAAATAGCTTGGCTGCTTATGCATAAACTGCATTCTGACTACTCGTACATGGTTTCTTTTTATGTTCTGGGACGTTAATGGAAGTCATCAAATGAAAACGAAATAAGGGAAAACGTATTTGGTAAAACCCTATGGTTTTGTAGAGGCAGAGTATGAGGAAATGAAAGTGTAAATGGTTTGCCAAGGGGCGCAGTGACTCACGCCTGTAATCCCAGCACTTTGGGAGGTCGAGGTGGGTGGATCAGGAGGTCAGGAGTTCGAGATCAGCCTGGCCAACATGGTGAAACCTCGTCTCGACTAAAAATACAAAAATTAGCTGGGCACAGTGATGGGCGCCCGTAATCCCAACAACTGGGAAGGCTGAGGTAGGAGAATCACTTGAACCCAGGAAGCAGAGGTTGCAGTGAGCCAAGATCATGCCACTGCACTCCAGCCTGGGCAATAGAGTGAAAGTCTGTCTCAAGAAAAAGAAAGTATCGATGGTGCCTACATGATGATTGTAGCTAACATGTATCAAATCTTTACTATGTATAGACCACTGTTCTATGTCTTTAAATAAATTTATTCTCTCATTTAATCTGCTTCTCAAAAAAAAAAAAAAAAAACCAGACAAACAAAAACTACACAGTTGTTACTATTATTATTCCCAGTTTCTCAGTTTGGAAACTGAAGCACAGAAATGTTAAGAAACGTGTCCAAAGACACACAGCACTTAGTAAGTAGTGGAGCTGGGATTTGAAGCCAAGAGATGCTGTTTCTTCTCGTGTGTGTGTGTGTGTGTATGTGTGTGTGTATTTACTTTCCATGGTATATTAGATAGAAATGGGTTCATTTGTAAGTTTCAGAAAACCCAAAATAACTATAGTTTGTCAGAAATGCAAGTTTGTGGCCGGGCACGGTGCCTCGCGCTTGTAATTCCAGCACTTTGGGAGGCCAAGGCAGGCAGATCACAAGGTCAGAAGTTCGAGACCAGCCTGGCCAACACAGTGAAACCACGTCTCTACTAAAAATACAAAAATTAGTTGGGCGTGGTGGTGTGCGCCTGTAGTCCTAGCTACTTGGGAGGCTGAGGCAGGAGAATCGCTTGAGCCCAGGAGGCAGAGATTGCAGTGAGCCGAGATCATGCCACTGCACTCCAGCCTGGGTGACAGAGTGAGACTCCATCTCAAAAAAAAAAAAAAGTAAGTTTATATAGCTTTCACATAAATAAATAGTAAAGGTCAGCAGTCCAGGGCTGCAATACTGGCCAAGATCATCAGGAACCCAGGCTTCTTATCAACACAGAGCTTCTACCTCATGGCCCAAAATGGCTGCTGAGCTCCAGCTACCACATCCACATTCTAGCCTGCAGCAATTAGGAAAGAGACATAAGGACACACCTGCTTTCTTTGATACTACTTCCCGGAAGTTGAACATGATACTTCTACTTTTAGTCCATTAGCCGTAGCTTTCCCCTTGACCACGCCTAGCTCCAAGCGAGACCGAGGAAAGAAGCCCTTGCTCTTGAAAAGCATTCTAAAAATGTGGGTTATCATTACTGAGGAAGCAGTGAAGAATGGATATTAAGGAGTAACTAGCACAGTCGGCCACACAGTAATAGAGGAGATGCATTCATGGAACCCCAGTGTGAAAAGGCATTTTGAAGAACTCTAGTCAAAGTTCTTATCTGATGCTTAAGTCAATTCCACAGCATTCCTCCCTACCGATAGTCCTCCCCTCCCTACTAAAAAGAGAGAGAGGCTTAAAGCAACCCATCTGATGTCTGGACAGTGCTTCCATCAGTTGAGCTGATCTCCAGTTGGTCTTATTTCAGCCCCTTGAGGCCATTCACATTAACTCTCAAACCTAAGTTCTCTCAGACCTAATAATTCAGAACTAATAATATTTGGAGACAGTTATCAAGTCCCACCCCCAGACTCCTCTTCTCCAAACTAACCACCCACTGTGCTCTCAAATACCCCTCCCTGTCATCCTCCCAGTGTGCTCACAGTTCCCTGGAGGTGTCCTACCTGGAACCCTGTGAGTGGCTTTACACAATCAGTGGCAGCTTACAGCTCTCAGATACGACTCATCTATTCATCTACATCTACAGTGACTTCTCAGAGAGCTTTGAGACTTCTGACAGTTGCTTCACACTTTTAACTCCAAGTGTTTGACACCTACCAAAGCTACAAATCCCCCCAGTGGCCGTTTTTACTGCTGATTTGGGGCTCCGACGCAGAGGCTGACATCTCCCTATCTTACCTTCTCCAGTTGATGGGGCCTCTTTATAGACTCGAACCTATCAAGATAGCTGTAAATCCTGAGTCCATCCGTCAACAAACCCTCTGTTCCTCCTACCTCCATCTGCAAGTTTGGTAATAACCCTATGACTTCCTCCAGCAGAAGCTTGTGAAGGACAGGGTCAACCCTGAAATCCTCCCTCCGGGTGAAATTGATTCATTAAGCAGCCGCTCTGTGGCAACAGTGAAAACTGGTTTCGATGTATGTTGCTGCCCTAGCGACATCCAAGCAAGCAGCTAAGAACCCCGAGGCCTTAGCTGTTGGCAACATCTTCTACCAGAGCTTTCCTTCCACAGGGAGAAGATTCTCAGAGCCCTTAGGAGCCAGGATCTGGCAGTTGGGAGATAGCAGTCATTCATGCATTTATTCATCCTTTCATTCATTCATTGTTCATTTGTTAAACATACATTGAGGTCTTCTACAAGCTAGATGTGTTATGTCCTGAGAATAAAGGCAAATAAGACACAATGCTTCCCCTCAAGGAGCTTGTCTGTCTAACAGAGAGTACAACTGCAGACAAAAGGACTCTGTGGCAAGCTCCAGACAGGTTATGTCACTCTTCTGCTCAATACCCTACAATGGCTCCCACGTTCCTCAGAGTAAAGGTCAAAGTCCTTCCCATAGGCCTATAGGACCTGGCCACCCCACAGCATTTGTCCATCCTCCTGCTCTTTTCCTCCTTTTTTCCTCTCTAGCCACACTGGCCTCATTTCTCCTGCCTTCAGGACTTTGTACCGTACCTTTAGATGCCATAACATACCCTACCTCTAGAAGCTCTTCCCCAAATAGTTAGATGGCTCACTCCCTCCCATCCTGCAAGTCTTTCCCCAGAAGATGTCTTCTCAGGGAGGCCTTGTCTAGCCACCCCATCTAAAATGTCAACGCCCCCAGTATTTCACATCCTCTTCCTGATTTATTTCTTCTTCTCAAGACATCTTCTTCTCTAATATTCTCTAGTCTACTTCCTAATCTTGCTTAATTTCTATCTCTGCCCACCAGCGTGCAAGCCTCTGAGAGCAGCAGGGAGCTTTGGATTATTTTTGTTTTGTTTTGTTTTGTTGTATTTAGAGCAATTAGTGACTAATACAATATATAAAAGAGGGGGGAAGAGAGGAAGGAAGGGAAGAAGGAAGGAAGCAAATGAATTTTTCAATAAAACCCGATATGTCCTGTAACGGAAGAAGAATCCATCACCTTGGAAGCACACAGAGAAGCCTCCTAGCCCAGCCTTGGGAAGTCAAGAGGCTTTCCTGAGAGAAATGAGAATGAGTCAGAGTTGGCCAGGTAAGGAGCAGACAGAAAGGTAATTCCAGGAAGAGGAAGCAGCACACACCAATGGCTACACCTGCAGGGAGACCTAGGTGCCATGGGAACGCGGTGCCTGGAAGCTGCATACAGCTGAACGTGGCACAGTGGCAAAAGGAGGGCTGGGGCTGAGTGGAAGAATCCTGCAGACCATGAGAAGGTGTTTGGAATCCATCAAGAGAGCAGAAGGAGGCAGTGGAGCAAGCAGCCAAGCATCATAACCAGATTTTCCCTTTACAAAGGGCAGAGTGAGAAAAATGGATGGGAGGAGAACAAGACTGGAGACATAGACATCAGTTAGAAAGATGCTTCACTCACTCCACCAAAAGAGGCTAACGGATGAATTAGGGCAGGAGTCAGCAAATATTTTCTGTAAAGGGCCAGGTAACAAATGTCTGGGGCATGTTCAGCTCTGTCTTTTTAGCAAGAAAGAAGCCATGGGCCGGAGCAGTGGCGTAGGCCTGTAATCCCAGCAATTTGGGAGGCTGAGGTAAGAGGATCACTTGAGCCCAGGAGTTCGAGACCAGCCTGGGCAACAGAGCAAGACCCCATCTCTACAAAAAAATTAAAAACTGGCCAGGTGTGATAGTGTGTGCCTGTAGTCCCAGCTACTTAGGAGGCTGAGGTGGGAGGACAACTTGAGCCCAGGAGTTGGAGGCTGCAGTGAGCTGTGGTTGTACCACTAAACTCCAGCCTGGGCAACAGAGTGAGACCCTGTCTCGTAAAGAAAAGAAAACAATAAAGAAATCAGCCATGGCCTGGGCACTGTGGCTCACGCCTGTAATCATCATACTTTGGGAGGCTGCGGCAGGTGAATCACTTGAGCCCAGGAGTTTGAGACCAGCTTGGGAAACATGGTGAGACACCATCTCTATAAAAAATACAAAAAAAAAAAAAAAGCCAGGCATGGTGGCGCGTGCCTG